ATTTATATAGCACATTTCATACACAATGGTAATTCAAAGTGCTTTACATAAAATAAAATAAAACAATAATAAAAAAATAATAATCACAACAATAAGGAATTTAAAAACTTTGAAAAATTATGAAAAAAAATATTTAAAATGTTTAAAATGAATTTAAAACAGTTAAGAATAGAAAAATACTCTAACAGTCAGAGCTGATAGTGCTTCGAGTTGTAGTGCGGTTGTGTTTTGGGCTACGCCAGTTCTAGGAAATGCATGGAAAAAGACAACTGCAACATAGCTATTTTATTTGTGCTTTTTTAATTAATAGAGTTTACACTAATTTACTTCACACACTCGTTATTGCGTAGTAATTTTAGAGGTTTGTGTAGAATAACATGCTTTCCCTGGGCTCACCGGTTCCTGTGCAGTTTGGAAAAGTATGGAATTTCACTTATAATTTGCAGGTGAGGAAAACTATGGTAAAAAAGAGAATGTATGAATGTTTTTGGTTTGTAGAATGTTACCATGACCATAGGCGTAATTTGTGGGTGGGACATGTCCCCACCACTTTTTGCCAGGGTCGATATTGTCCTACTTTTTGAAACATCTTGCGGCACGGATGTATCTAATACAAAATAAACATCTCTAGTTGAATAGCAATTGGTTCATTAGTGTTAAATAGGAGGTGAACTGGCGCTGAGGTGTGATGTTTTTGAAATCATGCTAAGTGCTCATTGCCGCTGTTATCAACAAAATCCACATAAACGTGTCCCTCACTGCTTTTGTATGCAATTAAATATGAACATCTTTGGTTTTAATGAAGAAAAAAAACTATGCGATGGTGGATTAGAACCCAGAACCTCTGGCACGCTTAACGAATATTCTACCACAAAACCATTAGGAGTAACAAACAGTTGACGTGGATTTATATATTTATTCATTAATGGAAATACTCTCCAGACTAACAATATATTGTATTATAGTAGATGCAAGTATGAAACATTAAAAATGAATTCTGTGTCAAAAATATTTGCATTTATTAGGCTATTGTACATTTCTGATATGCAATCTTAATAACCCCCGCCCCACACACACACTCCTGACCCATCCACGTTTTAAAGCAAAGTTACGCCAATGACCATTACATTATTCTAACGTTTTTGGTTCCCAGAATGTTAGTTTGTTAAAGGGGTCATATGACATTGCTAAAAAGAACATTATTTTGTGTATTTGGAGTAATGCAATTTGTTTATGTGGTTTAAGGTTAAAAAATCACATTATTTTCCACATACTGTACATTATTGTTTCTCCTCTATGCCCCGCCTTTCTGAAACGCGTCGATTTTACAAAGCTCATCGGAAAAGCGAGGTGTGCTGTGATTGGCCAGCTATCCAGTGCGTTGTGATTGGCCGAATACCTCAAGCGTGTGACAGAAATGTTACACCCCTCACCATACTGTGATTCCGTCTCCCAGCGCGATGAGACAAAAACAATAAAACCTATTACAAACGAGGCATTTGTTGCATCCAGTGGGGACATAATTACCGATTATAATGACTTATACTGTCTTTTTACGTATTTGCGTTCTGTAATCTACACGGTGATGCAGGAAAACATGAGAAACAGCTGCAGATCCTCACTGAAATGAGCTCAGTCAATGTGGTTGTTCTACCACGACTTCAGAGGAATGACAAAAGCACAAAAACAATCCAAAACCTGTTCAAAAATAGAAAGACACTAATTTGTATTTTTACTGAGGATGAATCTGTTCTCACTTTGATACAGAAAGGAAAATACAAGATTGGTCTGAAAGACAGAAATCAGTCAGAAGTATCAGAAGAACTCAGAAGAGCTATAAATGATTGTCTCTCAGAATTATCTTCCACTTTCAGACTTGAAGATGTGTCCAAACTCCCAGACATCAGAGTAGATGAGGAAGATGATGGTGACTGCAGGAGAGGAAGAGAAGCAGCACAGCAGATGATGAGTTTACTGAAGAAAAAACATCTGGGAGAAATCAAAGAATTATTTCTGCCTCATCAGGGGAAAATGTGGCATCAGTGGTGTCAGATGAACAAAGAACTACATCAACCTCGAGGAGATGAGACAGAAATGGAAATAAGTAAAAAACACACAGAAATGAATAAAATCCGTGAACAGCAGCATGGAACTCAAATAAGTCAGTTTATGAAGCTCTTTATTAAAGAAATGATCTCAAATGCTGAATGTGAAAAGTTGTTTTTCCTTAAATGGCTCAGAATCCTCCTGGATGAACACACATCAGCTGATCTTTCTGCTTTACATCACAGGTATGATAACACGTGGTCTACAGTCTTAAAACTGAAAGAGAACAATGATAAATCTGAACAAATCAAGCTTCAAAAACTCAAAGCAGAACAAACTGAACTTGAGAGAATATCTGAGGAACTACAAGCCGCAGCCTTTGGTTTGGAGCACATCATGAGGGAGATTGGTCAGATCTATGAATCATGTTCATCTGTTAATGAGAACAAGGAAGACCTGCACTTCTCTTCTCTCCCAAGTTTTGCAGCAGAGATGATGATCTCTGGATCTCCACTGGAGCTGATGGATGGACTGCACTTCTCTTCTCTCCCGAGTCTTGCAGCAGAGATGATGATCTCTGGATCTCCACTGGAGCTGATGGATGGAGATGCTGCTCATGTTCCTCTGGTCTGGATCTCTGCTGTTCTAGATCAACTTGTCCAGAAACTGGGAGACCAGAGAGTCTTTGTGCTGTCAGTTTTAGGGATCCAGAGCTCTGGGAAATCCACCATGCTGAACGCCATGTTGGGACTCCAGTTTGCTGTCAGCGCTGGCAGGTGCACCAGAGGAGCTTTCATGCAGCTGATCAAGGTGTCAGATGAGATGAAAACACAGATGAACTTTGACTATATTCTGGTTGTTGACACTGAAGGTCTCCGAGCTCTAGAACTGGCTGGAAGATCAACAAGACAGCATGACAATGAGCTGGCCACATTTGTTGTTGGTCTGGGAAATCTGACCTTGATAAACATCTTTGGAGAAAACCCATCAGAGATACAGGAGATTCTTCAGATTGTTGTTCAGGCCTTCATGAGGATGAAGGAGGTCCGACTGAATCCCAGCTGTGTGTTTGTGCATCAGAACGTTTCGGACATCACAGCTGGAGAGAAAAACATGGAGGGAAGGAGACGACTGCTGGAGAAACTGGATGAAATGACAAAACTCGCTGCTAAAGATGAAGTCTGTGATGCAGAATGTTTCAGTGATGTCATTGAATTTGATGTTCAGAAAGATGTGAAGTATTTCTCTCAGCTCTGGGAGGGCAGCCCACCCATGGCACCACCAAACCCAAACTACTGTGAGAATATTCAAGAACTAAAGAAAACTATAATGTCTCATGCCTCAAAATCACATAGAACGATGCTGACAAATCTAAAAGATCGTATTAAAGATCTCTGGGAGGCTTTACTGAATGAACGATTCGTCTTCAGCTTCAGAAATTCTCTGGAGATCTCAGCTTACAGGAAACTGGAGACAAAATACAGCAAGTGGACCTGGAGTCTTCGCAGTGCCATGATGGAGACTGAGAACAAACTATACAACAAAATAGAAAATGAAGCGATTAATGAGATTGATGAAACTGATCTTCAAAGAGAACTGACGACGACAAGTGAAGAAGTGAAAAAATCAATTTCTGAATTCTTTGAGAAAGATAAAGATAAAGATATACTGATTCAATGGAAAACATCATTTGAAATCAAGATCAAAGATGTTCAGGAAAACATTGTGAGAGAAACAAAGAGGAAATTAAATGAGGTTCTTCAGCAGCGAGACTTGAAGAAAAAGATTGATGGTCAGAGGACTAACCATGAAAACGCTCTCTTTGAAAAGAGCAAAGAACTCGCCTTAAAACTCAAAGACAAAACAAATGATGAAGAAACACTGAAGAAAGAGTTTGATTTGTTTTGGGAACAGAGTGTGAAGAAGATAATCAGAGACACTCCTGCAATCAAAGGCATTGACATAATGAGAGATGTGAAATTGATCCTCAGTGACGTCTATAGAAGTGTTCCTGCTGATCACTGGGGGGAGAGCAGGGATATTTTCACTGTGTCAAGTTATTCAGATTATGTACAGTTAAAGAAATCCAGTGGAATTACAGGAGCTTTTACTAATGTCTACAGATCAGCTAAAGAGAAGTTTGGTTATGCTCTAACTAAAGAGGATGAAGCTCAAATAAGATCATTTGTCACAGATGTTGTTCTGGGGACAGACAAAATGATTCAGTCATTTAACATCTCGAAAATGGGCTACAACAAAAGCTGCATTCAACAACTCACAGAATACATCAAGGCAAGAATAACACAACATGAGAAGGGACCAGTGAAATATAAGTTCAAGAATGAATTCTTCATGGATTTGGTTCTTTCCATCTGTAAGAAAGAAAACAAGATGATCACTGACCAACACAGACTGTTCAGGGAAGCCAATGATCCTGACATATATGTGAAGACTGCAGGAGATCTGACGGCTGAAGTGAGATCAAACTGTGAATCACTGAATGGAAACAGATCAAATCTGGAGAAACACATCCTGAAGACACTGGCAGAAGAGGAGGATTTTGACAAATACATGAACTACATTCACAATCCCAGAGATCACTTCAAGAGTTTCATCAGAGATGAAGTCAGGTGGTACATCAGTGATCTGTTCAGTCTCAGTGTTTTACCCAGGATGAAGGAGAACATTGAACTCCTGCAGCAGAAGATCATGAAAGCAGCTCATGAATCCACTGAACATGTTCAAGAGAACAGAGGAGATGCTGGTTTGTGGTTGAAAAGTTTCACGCAGAAGCTCTCAGAAGAGCTGATCTTCTCTGAAAAACACCTCAGTGGAGTCAAACATGATGATGTGGATGATATCAACCTCCTAGAAGATGTGATAAGAGATAAACTTCCTAAAATAATGTCTGACATCAACAATAGATTCAACAGAAGGTCATTTCCAGTAAATCTGGACCTCAAATTTAGACCAGATGAGCTTCTGATTGATCACTTCTGTCAGTGTTGTTGGGTTCAGTGTCCATTCTGTGGAGTCATCTGCACAAACACCATTGAAAACCATGATGAAGATCACAATGCTCCTTCCCATCGTAATATTGGACTGAATGGGTGGTTTTACAGAGGAACAACAAACTTGTCTATTAGCATCTGCACATCAGCAGTAGCAAGTGATAGGTGTTTTTCTCCCAATGACTCAGATAAGTCAGTCCGCTGGAGTAAATACAGAAGCGCAGGTGGAGTTTATGCAGACTGGTGTATCATGCCTGATCTCTCTAAAGTGACCTACTGGAGTTGGTTTGTGGGCAGATTCCAGAAAGATCTGGAAAAGCATTATGAAAAAACATTCCAGGGTAATGGCGAGATTCCAGCTCCATGGAGAGAGCACACAAAACAAGATGCAGTTCTGAGTTTGGGTTAGTGCTTTATTAATAATATAAACTAATGGAATAGATAAGGCATAACCCCCCTTTTAGACTACTTATTCACAGAACAATCTAAAATAAAAGCATGCCGTTTCATTCTACAGTACATTATAAAAAAGACTCTAAAGCTGCATCTGAAATCGGTCACTTGTTCACACATTTACTATTTTCAATATGATGAATGGAACATAGTGCACTATAGAAAGGATTCAGATAGTGCAAATATGCTTTCCATGTGGGGCAAACTGAAAGATCTGAGGATTCATAATAGCAACCTGTGTGTGTTGCAGCTTCAAGAGAGCAACCCTGAATTTGTTTTAGTTTCCTAATTGTTTTATTTTATTTTTTTCTAACCATTCATTTAATAATTTTCGTAACACTTTATTTTAAGGACCAATTCTCACTATTAATTAGTTGCTTATTATCATGCATATTGCTAGCATATTGGCTGTTTATTAGTACTTATAAAGCACATATTAATGTCTTTTTCTGCATGACCGTATTTTAGACTTCTTAATCCACCCCGTACCTAAACTTAACAACTAACTATTAATAAGCAGCAACTTTGGAGTTTGTTCAGGGAAAACTCTTAGTTAATAGTGAATGTGTTCCCTATTCTAAAGTGTTACCATAATTTCATTTATAATCAGTTATCATTTCACCATGTACTCATTTTTATTAGATTTGTATATTTTATATTTCTTATTATTTTCCTTGCTCTTGTAATTCTTGTCATTGTTTAACTGTATGATTGTGGAGTTAGTGATAAGAGAATGTCTGCATTTCAAGGTCATAGGAGGATGTTGTGAAGCAGTCATTTTACATTGTTTTTGCTTTGATATAATAATGTGTTTTGTATGTGTGCTGGTCAGACAAAGTTCAGACGAGGTTGAGAAGAAGTTTGGATGAAGTTGACAAGGTCCGACTGAGCATTGAAAGAGTCACAGCTAATATTATTCAATAAATCCTGCTCATTATCATCCATTTGTCTCTTATTTTATGATCTTTCCCAGCTTCCTCTGTCTGCCTCTTGGGCTGACAGAAGACTGTTAATACAGTTCTGTGTATCAGACAAACTAAAGTGCTTTTAGGTTTGGGGTACCAGACAAAAAAAACATTTTGACTGGTTTTGGGTGATAAAACTAGCAAAACAAACATTTTCTGACAGTATCTGTATATTTTCTGGCACATTTTTGATATGTCCTGTATGGACTTCCTGTTTTAATACATCAAAGCATTGAGTAAAACTCTGCCCATCAATCCACTTTATAGGGATTTTTTACAGGGATGCAATTAAAATCTTTAATAGATTTAACTTGTGCATGTTTAATAACACTATATAAAACACACAAAACTGTGTTTATAACAAAACAGCAAAGCAATATTGATTTAACCATGAAGCAGCTGTTATGAACAATTGTTAAATTAAGTATCACTGAGAAACTCTCAATAGACATGGTTAAGACTGAATTGTAAAAAAAAAAAAAAAAACACAATGAGGATGGTGGAGCGGGCGGTCCTGTGATTACAAATGATTCCAAAAATTGTCTAATTTTAAAACACAGTTTAAAAAAAAAAAACCCCTTTA